CCCCCGCTAGGGAAAAGCTGAGGGGGACACACAGAGAGGGTGGGGAGGGAAGAAAGGGTGGGGGGAATGTGCGTCGTGTGTGACTTTAATTTGGTGCTGGGCAGGCAGGGCGGGCAGGTGGGCATCTCTCCAGCTTCCTTCTTCTCCTCCATCCCACCCCATCAATGGGCAGCGGCATCTCTTGGTGTCCCTCCCTCCCTTTTTCCTGCCTGGACTCAGGGCCTCTTGCCCCAAGTAGGCGTTATTTGCCCTTAGACCTTACAGAACCACTTTGGGAAAGGGGAAGAAGAGCGCTCTCCCTGTCGGAGGTGGTCAGAGAGTGAGGGTCACTTCCTCCAAAGGCTTTATTCGGCCGTAGGAGACACCAATGATCCTTTTCAAGGGTGAAATCGAAAAGCTCTGTGACTTCCCAACGAGCTGCTTTTTTTTTTTTTTTTTTCTTGTAAGAACCTCCTGAGAATCATCTTTGTGGGAACTCTTGGATGAAATCCCCTTTTCTGCTGTGGAGCAGCTGGAAAGCCACCAGCTTTTACAGGTGGTTCTTTGAAAAGGGAGATCAGCCCCATGGAGAGCAAGAACAGGAGAGGAAAACAGGGCAGGGCTGTGGAAACAGTGATGGAAGGGATGGGGAAAAGCAAAAAGGAAAGAGAAGCTGGGGGGAGCCCAGGATGGAGAGCCAGAGGTGGGATGGAGATACCTCTCTGGAGAGCAGAAGACAACAGCCATAGGGAGCTCCTGGGGATGCGGATGGCACCTCCTGGTGACACCAGGGCAGTTTGGGACCTGACCAACAACTCATCCCATGCTGTGACCATCCCAGGAGGTGCTTTGTGGGAGCTGCTGTGCCATCCCGTGGGTGATCTTTGCCTCCAGGGAGGGTGAGCGAAGCAAAGAGGTTCTAGCGAGACCCTTCCCAGTGGGAAAAGGTGGAAATTCTGCGTTCTACCAGGGGTCTGGGGATGTCCCCTCCTCTCCCAGTTACCAGCAGGTGGTGGTCCCAGTGCCAAGATGCCCTAGCATCTCAGCAGCCTCCAACCCTGATGCTAACAGAGGGTTTGATCTCCACTATGGCCAGACGAGGCTTTCCAAGCGCTGATTTGGGTCTGGAGGGAGCCGTGTCTCTTCTTGTGCCGTGAGATGCTCGCCTGGACCCCAGAGGCCCTGGGGGGGGACACACCACCCTGGGGAGGGGAGCATGGAAGAGGGTGGCGGGCGATGGAGATGGAGGGGGCTGTTCTAGCTGTGGCACGAGCTGTCCTTTTTTTGTATACAACGGTTGTAAATAAACTGCCTTGGCATTTCTTTTGTTTTCTCATGATCTGTGCAGTGTCTTGTGTGTGGCTTTTTTGGGGTGGTGGGGTGGGTGGGCGCTTCCCAGTGCCGCTTACACTGGGAAGAGGAAAGGGGCTGGGTGGGGAAATTAGGGTGGGAGGCAGCACGTGCATCCAGGGGATGGGTCTGTTTTATCCCCATGCTCCAAACAACCCCAGCCTGGTGGGACTGCAGCAGATTTGGGCTCCTTTGGTCCTTCAGCGCTACCGGCCCCTTGCACCCCCGGCTCACCCTGCGCACCGCTGGGGCACGCTCTCCCACCCCAGACCCCGAGCAGGGAGCTGGAGCCAAATTTCAGCCATGTACTGGGAGATGAGGAGTTGGCCGGCATGGTGAGGAAGCGTGGAGGTAGCTGGACACGTGCCAAAGTCTACGCTGAGGTTGGACGACCCATTGGTCTACTCACGGAGTAGACAAACACAAAACATCATGTCCTCAGTGCCAGGAGAGAAGCCGGGGGATTCTTCTCCAACCCTAAGGAGAAAGTGGTACCAATTCCTTTGCTCAGCCTGAGAGAGGTGATGGCACCAAAATTTAAGACCAGCATCCCAGAGAGGGCAAATGTCCATTCCTTCTGGACCAAGGAGGTCCCACCAACCTGATCCTCTCTGATCTGGGCCAAGGAGGTCCCCTCTGACCTGTTCATCTCTGATCTGGGCTAACGAGGTCCTCCCTGACCCTGAGAAGCCTTGAAAGATGGGTGTCCAGCCAAGGAGCTAAGGTTCCCATGGGTGTGGGGTTCGGCACCAACATTAAGACAAATTCTGGGAGGGGATGCAGACCTCCCCGTGAACACAGCAGCCCTGTTCCCATCACGCTCAGGTGCAACAGCGAAGGGGCCATATCAAAAGAGACCACGCAAAAAAGGACACGGAGTCAGTGTTGAGGTGGCAGAGTCCACCACGGTCATGCGAACTGGTGGGACGTGAGTTAGCAACCCCCAGAAGCCATGTGGGAGAGGACCTGGGGAGACCAGAAGAGGTTGTTACACCCAAAAAGGGAGGAGAAGCCACAGGCTCAAGAAGGCAAGATGTGTACATCTAATACAGATGATGGCAACAAGAGTCTTGAGGCTGACCAGCAGCAGACTTGTAGGAGCTGAGTAAACCTGCAACAAATAAAATACTGGTACATCAGGAATATTGTATTTAAATAAACAAAGAATAACTAAAATATGTTGTTCTGCCCTAGGACTCCGTGTCATTGCCCACAACAGTGTGTGCGTTGATGGGCATGAAGGTTTGCAGGAACCATGACACAATGGAAAGGGGCACCCAAGCTGAGGAAGAAGAAAATAGGGAGACTAAAAGACCTTCCTCCAAAGAGCCTTAAAAAGCACCCAGAAGCTTTGAGGAGGGTAGCAGAGAAACAGGGAGCAGAGCCAGAAGAGCAAAGCCCTCCCTAGGGACAAGTCAGTGGGTGCTGGACAGAAAAATGGAGCACCAGGGTAAGAAGATGATGACGGGGTCACAGCTGATGGCACCGACACCGTCAGGAGGCGGCTGTTTGGAGGAGGCTGTCCGAAGAGGATCAGGGTGAGTCAAAACCAGGCAAATAGGGATGCAGACCTCTCGACTCTCTCCAGGCACCTGGAGCAGAATCCCATCCCACCCGTAACCACCTCCATCTCAGATCATACTGCTCCATGGCCCGAATCCTAATGAGCAGGGTCAATGCTCCAGCAAGGCTTCAGAGGCGCATTTTGCTCCCCATGCTGTCAAGGGGGAGAGATGGTGATGGCTTAGGATAAAGCAAGAGGTGAGCTGGATCTTCTTCCTGCCTCCAGCTTTTTGCCCATCACAAAGGTCTACCTCGGATAATCCCCTCCCTAAACCGACCAAGTTTTAATCTCATTTCCAGCACTGTGATTTAGAAGAGCTAATGTTTAACTTGCCTGTTCTTCTCCCTCCCTGGCTCTTTCTCTCCATCCCCAAGGTGTTTGAAGATCCAGCCCTCTGGCCATGGGCATCCCACCAAGGGTTATTTGATGACGATCACTCCAAGAACCCTTCCCTGCATTTCCTCCACTCTCAGTTCAGTTGCCTTTCCCAGCCGTGGTCCTGGACACTCATAGATCACAGGCTGGTGACCCTCATAAACCTTTTCCATCTCCAGTAGATACACTGAGTCCTGATTATCACACAGACAAAAAGACTCACGTTGACCTAACATGTCAGATGGAAACTGTCCTCAGACCTCCCTCTTTCTTTGGTAGCTGTGAACCAAAAGAACGCCAGGTCACGTAGCTGCTCCCTCAGCAAGATACACATGGAGACAAACGCTGCTCCACAGCAGGAATGTTGCCTGTTCGTGTGCGCCGGGGTCTGCCGGGCTGTCTGGTGAGCGCGGCAGTGGACGGGACCCGGCGGGGCGTCTGCCTGGTGGCTGCACTCGATGAGGTTCTGTCAATACAATTTCCTGCCCCGTATCACTTCAGACAGCACCATAATGGGGTCAGCCGAGCTAACGAGGCAGGGGTCAGTTTGAGTGTGAAGGGGAAGGGTGGAAGACGGGGCCGGGCTGGCGGTCGGGAGCCCTGTCCTGGGCAGAGCCTCCTCCCCCCCAGCGCAGGACAAAGTGTACGGGGTCACTTGATGGGGCACACTGAGTTTCTTGCTTACCCACGCTGCTGTGTCTCACCCAAAGCCTGGTACCCAGCAGACACCTGGATGAGGACCATCACCTTCCTGAGGAGAAGCCAGCAGGGTTGTCAGCCCCATACAGAGGTGGTACCCCCATGTCCCATGCGCTATGAGCTACGGGGCACGGGCACCCAGGAGTCCAGGCTTAACCTTCCCTTTCTGCAGCAGAGCTGCTTTTGCAGACACTGGTCCAACTTCCCTCCTCACTGGGAGGAACTCAGGCCCCCTCTGGCTGGATTTGGGGCTTGCAGTGATGAGACTCAGGCTGTCCTTAGCCTTGCTGGGGTACCACATAGCTTCATCTGACCACACAGAGCCATCTGAGATGCTGCCAAGGTTTCCCACCTGGCTCCCAAGAGCCCTGTGTCCTCTGGGTCCCGTGTTACCTCTGTCCACCCCATGTGCCAGCCTCAGATAGCCCACAGGACTCAAATGGCGGGAGACACCCACACCTGGGCGAGGGACTGGAGCTCAGGCACTTACAGCTGGGCGTCCTGCCCATCTGCGGAGAGCAGATGATGGAGAGCAGGTCCTTGTCTACGTGGTGGAGTCCTCTCCTGAAGCACCATCCCTCAGGCACAGCCAGGACATAGAATCATAGAGTTGTTTGAGTTAGAAGGAACCTTAAAGACCATCTAGTTCCACCCCCGCCCTGCCATGGGCAGTGAAATCTTCCGCCAGACCAGGCTGCTCAGAGCCCCATCCAGCCTGGCCTTGAACACTTCCAGGGACGTACAAGGTGAAAGCACAAAACAGAGGTTTGGTGCCTTCAAGGAATCTTCCAAGGAGACATTTCATGGCTGAGATCTGGACAGACCTTTTGCACCTGATCCCACCTCTCCTGATTGAAAAGCCAGATACAACCCCATCCCTAAATCGCAACCCAAGCAAGACCAGTGCGATGAGTTGCGCCTCCTGAACATCAGAGGATGCCTGGGTGTCCTTCAGAGCAGACATGACAGGTGCTGCTCAGATGCTGACCTGCACAAGTGTCCATC